CAATCGACCATCCACACTCTGTCACACCTAGAGTCACACAGAAGAGCTCCAGAAGGTTTCAAACYGGGAACTCTGGACTCAGATCATCTGCTGCACACAGTTCTGATCACTTATTATCAATAATAATTTTATTGATAATTATCATGAGGAGTCCTTATCTAGGATGTAGTTGGGCAATTAAATATTCATGTATGAGTAAATTTATTACCATAATTGCAGGTGAGTCACATAAATTTATGTTTTTATACAACAAGTAGCCCCCTCCCCCCAAGACCAATTTCCTAGGGGAAACACTGAATATGCCTCATTAGAAAGCTTTGATATGCTGAAATTAAGACGTAATGATGCCAAGCTGTCTGAAATATTTTCCTGAAGTGTACAAAAGAAGGCAAACAAACACTGTGTGAATGAAGAGTTTAATAAGAACATAATGTTTCTTGGAAGGCAGGATTTTATGCACTGCACTAAGCATTCAGTGAGAGATGTGCAAGGTTTCCTTGTTTACCGTTATGGAAAGATGACACACAGGTGTTAACGATCATGCTGATTGTGTACGTCAAGGTCACAATCATTAATCTTTGCTTAAAACAATGATGCCAAAACACAGTTGAGGCAGAGTACAAGAAATTATCTAAAAGTGGCAGCACTGGATAAAAAATAACCTAGAATGTTATTAATGGAGCATATGGATTAGTTGGACTGTAGCTGGCTGCTGATTGGAAATCCTTTGAAATGTCAATTATAAATTTGCCACAGGAAGGAAATATTGAGCCAAATCAAAGCTGCTGAAATTTCCGCAATGTATCATAATGAAGCTTAAACAAAACTTCATATTTCAAAAACCATAAATGGTACAAAAACTAAACGTCATTGCAAGCATCTCCTGAATGCTCTCAACAATAAGTTTGAATGGTTGCAGAAGGATCAAGTATGCAAGAGTAGAGAGGTAGTCTTTCATACACACTAATGTTTTTGCAGAAATTAACGCACAAAAAAAATCAAGCCAATGCAGTAAATGATCAGGAAAGTTCAATTTGATAATGAGGGTGTGGTAATGTGCATGTGTTCCTACCTTTGGAGGATCATAGAGCTCCAACTGGTACCTTTCGCTCCCTCCTCCACTCTGAGTGTCTCTGATCCTCCTGACCAGCAGGCGGCAGCGTTGCCAGCGGGGCTGAGAGTCTGAGATAGTGTCATCCACCAGCAGGTACTTGAGTTGGCCATCTTTACAGCAGCCACTCGTCTCTGGCCTCCTCTGCCTCATGCTTCGGTTGCGTAACCTACGGAAACTATCTAGGAGGTGAGAGACCACGCCAGGCCGGGTTGAAGTGGTGTGGGGCACGGCTTCAGAGTTCACAAAAGAGGACGAATGAGAGGAAGAGGATGAGGATGACCCTTCCTCGTTGGCAGAGGAAATCCCCCCTACTCTGTCAACAGTGTTTGGGGGATTGCTGTTGTTTGGAGGGGTGCTTGGGGACAGGTCCTGGGATGAGCGGGGACTGGTCAAGGGCCGTTTTGGAAAAATCCATTTTAATGTCTGCTGGATTTGTCTGACAGAGAAATGTGTGACGTCACCATGTCCAGGGCTGGAGGCCAAGGACTCGGAGGAGTACCGCTCAGACACTTGGTGACGGTCAGCGCCAGAGATTTCGTCACTGCTATGGCTATGAATCAGCAGCGACCGACTGCCGATACTGAGAGATTCMGAAAAGGAGTTTCTTGCAGCACATCTCAGCGGCTGCTCCTGCTCCCTGCTCACCACCACCGACTCCACCTTTGGCGCCACAGAGATTGGAGCAGCTCCTCTACTCGGCCGGCCCGCCTCCCGATAATCCTGTGCCCCAGAAAAAGATGAAATCCTTAAGCAGCTGTTCACAGTGTGTGGTGGAAGGGGAGAGGCCAGTGGCGATGTGGAGGAGGCACTAACGGGAGTAGCAGTGCTCTGGCTGAGTGGAGTCCCATCTTTGTTGACCTCAGAGCAGAAGTGGTGCTGGAAGGTGTCAGTGAAGTGCTTGGAAAAGGCCTCTGGTGGGACCACGTCATGTTGCAGACGTTCTCTGGCAAACCTCCGGTACTGTTCAGCCAGCTGTTGGGCTATGGCGATGGCATGCAGCTCGCAGAATTCCCTCCAGCCTCTTGGGGGCGCTGCTACACTTGGACCTCCTGCTGAAGTGGTGTTGGCTGGATGGATAGTGTTACCATTCATTGCAGTAACCAGACTGGGTGAGAATCACTGCTGGCAGACAAAAGACATTGGAAAGACAGAAACATGTGTTACTGGCGAGTAGTTGGGGTTCAATCAGGAGACAAGAGTGCACGAAAAGGTTTATCACAAGACATCAAAATAAGAAGATAAAGAAACATAATTAAATCAATATAATAAAAACTGCGTGAAAGGCAAAGTGCTGAAATTAAATTGGCAGAACGGTCACAAGATTGTTGAAGTACTTTAAAGTTTTAAATGTTCAAACATTGAGAAAGCACAGTCCAGAAAAGCTGATGTTATCACTGCTCAATCTCCAACGGCACAAAGTGGATTATATGGGTCTGCAAAATATTTGGCTATCAGCCACTCTTGAACTATTCTCGCAGATAAGAATGGTCACAGTTCAGTTAAAGGACAGGTTTTCCACAAACCATTCAGTTTGTGATAAACCTGTCAACTGAATAAATAGCTGTTAATAAAAAGCATTGCAAATTATCGAGAATGGATGAATTAAACCTTAGTTTTGTTGAGGTAGAGAAGACAGTAAAAACAAACATATTATTAAGTCTCAAAGCTGCACATTGAGACTGGACTATTTCAAATGAATGATAAGTTAGACAGACAGTGAATGAGTACCCTGAGGAAGTRAAATTAAAATAATCAACAACACTGCACGCAGAACCATCTGTGTGAGTCTGTGCTTCAGTGTTCCTTCTGCTTTCTTCCCCTGAGGTGCCAATGTTGACTTAAAAAGGAAAAGATAGCATTTAAAAAAAAAAAACTATTTGAAGCCCAGCTTTATTTAATTAACTTATTTTAACAGATGTGTTTTACCTTTTTAAACGGACGGTACGGAGGCGTCAGTAGAAAGCCGAGCTTGATTAAAAAGTGTCACTTGTAAAGAGAAGCTCTTTGTTGGGTGTTCACTGTGTTGTAGGAGGTGATAAACTTCTGCTCTCTTCATGGAGACTGTTTCTTCTCAATAAAGCATGGTGGGACATGTTACTGTAGTTGGTAAAACTTCTACRTGGATAATTAAAGAATAAAGCTAAAAAAATTAGTTGGTCAGAGGTAGAAAAAACTTACTATATGAGTAGTACGTTTATGATGACTAAACAACAACAAAGCTAATTTTAAATCTTTCTCTGTAAATGTTGTGCCACACTTTTGACTCGGGGACAGTGGCAGCATAGAATTTTTTTTTTTCGGACTGATAATTTCTTACGCAACAAACATAGCTTCCTTCTTACTGGTGTGCATCAATGAGTTGCTAAATATTACAGTCCATTAAATTTCAGTATTAACCATGCTTTCATTTTGTGCATATAGCGCATATTATCCTCTAGTAGAGCAGAGAATGATCTGTTCTAAATACAGGAAGTTAATGTGTGCATAAGGCTCTGCGTGTGTGGAGAAGAAGGGGTACTCAGGGACTGTGGTCCAACAGATCACAGAAAACCACAAGAAACGGAAGGGGAGGGAACGCTGTGGTCAGGCCAAACATGGAGCAACTTGTTTCGTTATCTTGTGGCTCACATCTCTTTACGTGGTCTGAGGGAGAACATTTGGAGATGAAAAGCTGTAAAATTTTGGGTTAGCATCTTTTCAAAAAGCCCACAAGTTGTTATTTTTTCTTGAGGGTCGTCAAATACACCAGGGGGACGGCGTACGTCGACGAGACTGCGTCAACTCGGCATCGTGAAATGTTGCGTCACTGCCGTTCCTGGACGCGTCCTGTCACAACAACTAATCCCCTTCCTCTAGGTTTCAGAGCATGCTCAGAGCATGCCCTCCTTCGCCCCTCCAGCTGGCCCCCCCCAGAAGCCTGTTTCTATCAGCGTGTCCAGCCCAGCAATGACTCAGCATTGACAGACTACAGAACATGCACACGCTCATCTACACACATTTTCAGACACACACTTCCTCTCGCTGTATCCCTCTGGGGGATTGGCTGTCTCTGTTCCCAGGGTTTTTATTTTTTCCCCTCTTTTCATCTACCCTGTTTCGTTTTCTGATATGAGGATCTCCAGATGTGTGCGGATTTGTGCTTCCTTTATTTTTACCTCAACTGAGGGCCCAAGGAAAACAAAAAGGCTCACACAGTTTGGTACCTCCTCTCTCTTGCTCTTATCCAGGACCTCTAACCTGAAGTTGATGCTTTGTTATTGTATTATTGTTTTGCAAAACAGCATTCAGCAGGAGATGACAGAAAAAGAGCAAGTTTAGACAGCTGAAAACGGAGAGCACTCCTGCAAAACGTCAGTCGACACTCCTGCATTCATGTTCTTTTTTTCCTCATCTTCTATTCATCTACAGAACAGACAGTGTTCTTTGTGAAGCGCCCACGCCACCTTCCTGATTGCTTTCTTTGTGTCTTTCATGTCTTTTACAGAAATCTGGGGCTGGTTGTTTGCACCATGGACACCACATGCAGCCC